GTGGGGTGACCAGGCTGGCAGGGGGGGCAGTTGGGGGCGACCAGGCCAGCAGGGGAGCAGTTGGGGGCAACCAGGCCGGCAGGGAGGGGGCAGTTGGGGGCAACCTGGCCGGCAGCGGGGGGCTGTTAGGGGCGACCAGTCCGGCAGGGGGGGCAGTTAGGCGTGATCAAGCCGGCACTTAGAGGCAGTGAGGGGCAATCAGGCCCACGGGGGTTTGGGGGGGCAGTTAGGGGCGACCAGGCAGGTAGGCAGGTGAGCGATTAGGAGCCAGTGGTCCAGGATTGTGAGCGGGATGTCCGACTACTGGTTTAGGCCCATTCCCTGGGATCAGGCCTAAACTGGCAGTCGGACATCCCCTGAGGGGTCCCGGATTGGAGAGGGTGCAGACTGGGCCGAGGGTACCCCCCCCCCCCCCCCCCCGCACAAATTTTGTGCACCGGGCCTCTAGTTATTAATAACAAATCACAACATTCACTAACGACTGATTACTACAATCCTGTTGCATTCGTTTCCCTTACGCGCCTTACACGCAGGCGCACCATTTCTCTCCACCAACACTAGCTGTGAACATTTTAGCAGCCGATGGCCACGTCATTAGTCTTATACTGACTTGTTTGGTGTGCGCAACAGGAAATATTTTGCTTTCAAAGAACAAGAAAAATAGGTTTATTCGCTTAATTTGTGCAGCGATTCGGTGTCTGGTAAGTGAATGTTCAAGAAAAAATATTAATTTTTATTAAGATGTTCTATTATTTTATGTTAACGATGACTCATTTATTTCAGCCCTTTATATTCAGCATGTCTCTATCGAAATACACCTACATTCTATGAACATTGGAGCTTTTGTTTTTTTGCGGCCCACACAAACTTACAACTTATTTGGCCCGTGTAGCCTTGGAGTTTGCCATGCTTGACTCCGGAGGGAACTGAGAGCCCACAGCCAAAGCGAACCGCACCTCCAAATAAAGGCCCGCACCCCATCACCCTGTTACCCAGACAGGCCGCGCCCTGTATCGCCGCCTGTCCCGCGCCGTCCTTCTCACCCGGGCTTGCGGCTCCCGACACAACTCGCCCGGTGCCCGAGGGGCCGCCTCACCTCAACCGCCTCCCGGCGTCACCCAACCGTCGCTGCCCGTTCCAGTCCCGCTTCCGTGAAGTCCGCTGAGGCCCCCACCCTCGGCCGGCGCTGACTACTGTCTGGCACGCGACCAACTCGCCGCGCAGAGGCCCAGAACTCGGGGACAACGGAAAGGAACCCAAAGACCGAGGCTAGTTTGGGCCCAGAAGCTTATGGGAGCCCTGCTGTCCCAAACACTCTCCACCGGCACACTTGACTCTTCCTGAACAGGCCTGTGCCCGGAGACTTCTGGGAAATGTAGTCCACAGCTGGCGAAGTCCCGGAAACGGGGTCCTCCAGAAGGCTCCCAGGATGCAACTCGGCGCAGCTGTCAGAGGCGCTTTTCGGACGCCCACCTGGAGGGCTATCCTTTGCCGTAGGGAGCCGAACCCGGCTTGGGCGAGCCTGGCGGCTCTGGTGTCTTTGGTGAGGCTGAGGGTGAATTAAAAGGTTCTCAGCGAAGGCAAAAATGGGAGTGCAGGATGGCCAGGGACTTAGCCCTCGGTGAGCGGGGCATCCCAGGTAAAGCGGGCCACGAGCTTACTTGGGTACCAGAGACTGGAGCAGGTGTGGCGTTTGAACGGATGGCTCGTCTTGTTTGTTCTGGGTGAATTTGTGGGTCCAACTCGTTGTCTGGGACCCTGCGTGGAGTTATTTATACGCATGGTATAGTTCCGTGGTCGGCAAACTGCGGCTCGCGAGCCACATGCGGCTCTTTGGCCCCTTGAGTGTGGCTCTTCCTAAGCCTTAGGAGTACCCTAATTAAGTTAATAACAGTGTACCTACCTATATAGTTTAAGTTTAAAAAATTTGGCTCTCAAAAGAAATTTCAATCGTCGTACTGTTGATATTTGGCTCTGTTGATTAATGAGTTTGCCGACCACTGGTATCGTTTCTGCCATTGTGAATCTGTATTTCCTTAGGGGTAAGGCAGTTTTTGTTAGCGATTTATGCCACTGTTGGAAAGCAGCTGTAAGTGGTCATGAACCGATGTTGTGACCATGGGGATTTATGCGAAGTTCTCTGTAGGACTGAGAGATGTGAGGAGGTCTGTCACATTGTGTGGTCCTATTAATATCAATAACTGGAGATGAGTAATATTTGTAAGATATTTTTTAAAATTTCTTTTGTGCCCTAACCGGTTTGGCTCAGTGGATAGAGCGTCGGCCTGCGGACTCAAGGGTCCCAGGTTCGATTCCGGTCAAGGGCATGTACCTTGGCTGCGGGCACATCCCCAGTGGGGGGTGTGCAGGAGGCAGCTGATCGATGCTTCTCGCTCATTGATGTTTCTAACTCTCTATCCCTCTCCCTTCCTCTCTGTAAAAAATCAATAAAATATATTTTTTTAAAAATTTCTTTTGTGTGCATACCATGGTGATTATGAAAGTGGATCGCTGTCCAGCTGGGATTGAGAAACAGTACAGTGTTGTCTAACTTGATATGTGTTAGTTTATCTGACTACCAGCGACTGTATATGCCTAGGAAATTGTGACTGCGTTTTGATAATAATAAGTGGTAATAATCCACAGTTTCCTTACCGACAAAATAGTGTTACTACGTCTTCTTGGAGCATCAAATTTAAGACGCATAAAAAGATTTACAACTTATCTGCCAAAAATTTAGATATTTTATAATGAATCAAAGATGTTTTATGGGGAAGAATGCAAATCAGCATAACTTTTTTATGGGTTTTTCTGTTTGTTTTGTTAATCCTCACCAGAGGATATTTTTTCCATTGATTCTTAGAGAGAATGGAAGGGAGGAGGAAATACAGAGAAACATTGATGTCTGTGTCCTTGACCGGAATCAAAACCAGAACCCTTCAGTCTGTGGGGCGATGCTCTATCCATTGAGCCAAACCGACTAGGACTCAGCATAACTTTTAAAAAGAAAAAAAAAATAGGAATTTAAATTTAAAAAAAAAAGAAAGAAAGAAAAAGAGCCCTAGCCAGTTTGGCTCAGTGGCTAGAGTGTTGGCCTGCGGACTAAAGGGTCCCAGGTTCCATTCCCGTCAAGGGCACATACCCAGTAGGGGGCGTGCAAGAGGCAGCCGATAAATGATTTTCTCTCATCATTGCTTCTCTCTCTCTCCCTTCCTCTCTGAAATCAATAAAAATATATTTTAAAAAGAAATCCAGCCTGAGACAGGCTCCCACTCTTCTGTGATGTTAAGGGGACTAGTACAGATAACTTGGGAAGCCCTAGATTAAGTTCCCACATGTAGAGGCAGGTAGATTAGATCAGATCCCAGAATTAGGGAATCAGATGTTCTAGGTTACAGGTTAGGCAAGGCAAGGAATGTGTTTGAGATTACATAATCAGTCTATTGGAAAACTACTTGTCTTATTTCCAAAAGTGATTATTGCATTTTTTATATTCTAAATATACAAACCAAGCTTCCATTTCTTAGGTGGGATCTGAATTCTTTGTTGCAGTTGGTAGTTTTGAAACTAAAATCTATAGTTTCTTCTAACCAGCTATTTTTCTGATCTGAAATGGCAGATGAAAATAGAGAACAGTTCATGGATGCAATATTAGGGAAGAAGATAAAATTCCTTTTCTCTTCTATTACAATTTCAGAAGAAAGTCCTAAATGTTTGTAGGAGGTAAATGGGATATTTTTTCTGACCTTTCTTTGTTTGTTTCTCCTCCAGAAGTCTCTTTAGCTTCACCCCAACTGGCTTCATCAGAGCTAAACTTCATTAAAACACTTTGTCATCAAATTCAATGACATTGCTTTCACTTAATATCATTGCAGTAACAAAGAAATCTGGAAATGAAACATGCCCATCAAAGGTAGGACGGATAAATAGTGTGGAGTACCTATATAGAGGAATAGCACACAGCAGTGAAAATTACTGAATCTAACAAATATGATGAGCAAAGAGTCATAGAAATATACATGCAGTATAATTCCATTCATAAAACTTTAAAGATGCAAAATGATATTTTGTGTATAAGTGTTACATAATGAAAAACAAAGGTATGGTAAATAAAACTCAGAAATGTGGTATCTTTGGGAAGGAGGAAAGATGGAGAGATGAGTTTGCAAAAGGATTTAAAATTAATTCACGTATTTACACAATTGTGTACTTTTAAAATATATTTCTTATTAGTTATAAATATTTATGGTGAAATTTAAATTTTTAAAAATAGGAATTGAAGCCAACTGTATATATATATATAACTAGAGGCCTGGTGCACGAAATTTGTGCTCTGACTCCCCTAACTGCTCGCCTGCCTGCCTGATCGCCCCTAACTGCCTTGGCCCCCACTACGGCGGCTTTGTCCAGAAGGACATCCAGAATGACATCTGGAAGGTCATTCAGCTGTCCGGTCTAATTAGCATATCACGCTTTTATTATTATAGATTGTATGAACATGGAGAAAGATGTGGGATGTGTATACCAGATTTTTAACATTCTCCTACCCAAGGGGAGTGTTGGAGCTTGTGAATGTATGTACAGAGGGGAAACTGATAAATAAACAATGTTAAAGTCTTTTAAAAGTGTGAAATACATCTGTTATTTACATGTATACATATTAGAAGTTGAAGGGTCGAGGGTTCGATTTCCAGTCGGGGTGTGTGGGGGAAATGGCCAATCTGTGTCTCTTTACCATTGATATTTCTCTCTGTCTCTCCCCGTCCCTTCCTCCCTTCCACTCTCTTTAAAAAATCAATGGGAAATTTTTAAAATAATTCAGTAGCTTTCAAATTTCTGGTGTCTCATAAGAGTTATTTTTTTACAGTTTGTTCAAATCAGAATTAAAATAAATTCCACACATTATAATTGGTAGATTTGACACTTAAGTCTATTTCAATCTATAGGTTCTCACTCCATCTCTTCATTTCTAAACAATTATTTGATGAAGAAATTACATTGTTTCCCTAGTAGAATTTCTCACAATCTGGATTTTGCTGATGATATTCTGACATAATTTAATATACCTTATATTTCTTATATTTCCTATAAATTGGTAGTTGAGTATAGAGATCTTACCTAGATTGAGGTTCAATATTTTTGGCAAGACCACTTCCTGGATGGTGTTATGTTATTCCACCAGGAAACACACAAAGACTGGTTGTCTCTCTTTTTGTGAGATTCCTGGTTGTTGTTGATCAATTCCCACATCTATTGATTCATTAGGCGTTGACAAGTGATATTACATTTCCTTCATTTCTCCCACATTTACAAGTTTTAACTTTTCCATTAAAGGAAACATTCTCTCAACTATTTGGTTAGCCAGTGCTACATAGGGAAGGCAGAGTAAATTATTGATTTTTTTTCCTTTTACTTGCCAATTTCCAACATAATGATTTGGTTTATAGCATCTTTCAGTTGCACTGAATTCTGTTTTTTAGAATCATACTCAGGTATGTAATTGATATGTTTTAATTATTGCCATCATTATCCTTATTGGTACTCAAATTGCTCTGTCTTTAGAGTGAAAGCCTCTTTAAGGTGATTCCTGAGTTTTGTCTTATTTTTGTTCGTTGTTGTTTTGTATGAGCAAAGTAGTGTTTTATACAGCTCCTTCACTCTCTGGTTTTGCAAGACATTCCAGGGGTATCTTATCAATCTCTTGTCACAGATCTGGATTCAGACATTTCTTTAAAATTCCTTTTAGTGAAAAGTAGTATTTAAAGTTCTGGCTGAGCGTACGGGTACTTATTGCTATTGGTTGTTGTTTTCAGTGAACAGCAAAATATTTTTAATTAAATGCTTTCCATTGATCTTGTACCCTGCCACATTGCTGAATTTGTTTATTAGATCAAATAGGGTTTGTTTTGGCGGGGGGGACTTCCTAGGATTTTCCATATATAAGTTCGTCATTCATAAACAGAGATAGTCTACTTTTTCTTTTTCAACTTAGATGCCTTTTATTTCTTTTTTCTATTTCATTTATTTCTGCTCTAATCTTTAGTATTTCCTTTCTTCTGCTTGCTTTGACTTCAGTTGGCTCTTCCTTTTCCAGTTTCTTAAGGTAGAAGGTTAGGTTATGGATTCAAGCTCTTCTTTTTTTATTTTTTTAAAATATATTTTATTGATGGAAGGTTAGGTTATGGATTCAAGCTCTTTCTTCTTTTTTTTCTTTTTTTAAAATATATTTTATTGATTTTCTACAGAGAGGAACGAAGAGGAATAGAGAGTTGGAAACATCAATGAGTGAGAAACATCAATCAGCTGCCTCCTGCACACTCCCTACTGGGGATGTGCCGGCAACCAAGGTACATGCCCTTGATCAGA